ATCTGTGCGATTCAATCATCGGTTGAATAATGTCTTCTGTTAGAGTACGATGATCGGCGGCGCTTAAAATTATTACATTATTAAAAAAGATTCTGGAATAACGAATAAAAGATTATACTGTACAGCGTATCGTGGATTGGTTACATGCCACCTGTGGCACAACGACGCGGCGGCAGGGGAACGCGGTCGACTCGATCGCGGTGATATCTCTTAGAGGTCGGGAAGGGATTCATCAATAAAGTTTACTATTTTTCCGATATCGCTTTTCCAATTCTATAAATCGTCGTGCACGAGCTCGCGTATACATAGAGCATGGGGAGGAAAGGAGAAAGATCAGTTATGAATGGCCCACATCGGTTCATGTTAATCTGCCACTTCATCCCTCTCTCTCTCTCTCTCTTTCTCTCGCGTACACGCGCATACACGTACACGCACACATACATCAAGCTACGTGCAATCTCTCTGCTCCTGCCAGCCCATTTCCAGACTCCACCCCTCTCTGCCTCCGCCGCTACCGCGCGTTCACCCCCTGACCAATTGTTTCGTTGGAAAAAGAGAAGAGAGAAAAAAAAAAGAAAACAAGCGGGGCCGAGAGCGGACCTTTGACGAAAAAATGCTTTAGCTATTGCGGTGTGTACGCGTGCCCACTAAATTAAATCGCTCGTTTTCGGTGCACCCGTTTACGCGCCAACAGAAAAGAAAAAATCAACGAGAGGGAAAGTTTTCAATGAATAAACCTGCGTTTACACGTGTTGCCTGTTGATTAAGCCAGTTTACTGGGACGTTATGTTTCATAATCGCGTGCCGGCTGGATCCTGTGTTCTTATTAGAAGACGACACGATTCTTTGTATTGCCATTCAGATGGCAATTGTATACGCTCCGAACTACATATAATTGAATGGCAATCTTTCTCCAGTTTTATTCTCTTTTTGCACGTAGAATCGAACACTTAGTCATATTGCTAATCTTTTTGTCGTACTTCGACGAGTCTGACACATCAGCATGTGTCATCTATAGTAATAATCTGTTAAGTATAAATATTATTCTGTTCTTTTAAGTCAAAATAATACTCTGTTTGCTTATCATTTTCTTGCCTAGGCACGCAATAAATATAAATTTTCTTTTTCTTCTAAGAAATTATTGCAATCCTTGATCGTTATAACTATGAGTAGTACAAAAATGGTTTAATATTACAGTGTGGTAAATTTGATTAGTGCATCAGACTAGCCATTCAAGTGCAAAAGGTTGAATGAAAGTCATCAAAACGTTAAATAGTAATTATTGATTTTTCTTTAATAGGTGAAGCCCCGGTTTCGCCCTTTGCGTCGATTTTGTTACTTTATTAGCGACGAATGTCACGAGTAATTTTATTTGAAACGGAACTCAACTGACTTTAGTTTTCTATTTTTGACGAACGAATTTTAAAAGTTAATGATTTATCTTTCCAAGATATTGACTTTTTATTGTGTTAATATCTGGTACCAAGGGACAATTTAAAAATTGGAAAATGAAGGAAAAACGAGCAATCTAAAATCCCCTAATCCCCTAAAATCCCTGAGAGCAAACTTTTTTTGTATAGCTTCTATCTCTGTAAGTTATTCAAGGATAACTCAATTTTGTCTAACTATGAAAAGTTTCATAGTTATAGAAATTTTATTTTTGAAGTTTTTCGCGACATTAAAGTTTCTAACTTTTCTCCGTTTGCTTTGCTAAACAATCTTAATAACATTTTTTAATTTTACGAAAATATCGTTTGGAGAAAAACGCGTTTGAAGTTCTTCAAACACTTTTCATTACGTATTTATTAATCTACTAATTAATCAGATTCGTTACAAAACGTTTCTTCTTTTCTAGTCCATCGTGGGGGACGTTGTCATTACAGTCATAAGAAAAAATCGATTATATCTGCCTGTAATATAATTTATAGATATGTTATTATACCGTAAATTATATTTATAACACGACCTAGTTATGCATTCATTAGTTTAAAAATATTCATGCGAATTTTCACTTTTAAAAAAGGGGCACTTTAAAGCCCAAATATAAGAAGTTTAAAGAAAAAATAATAGAAAATAGAAAAATATTATGAGGCAATTACTCATTATTATTTTCGTAGAAATACATGAAAAACTGGTCGTCTTCTTGCACTTTTTGCTGGTTTGGTTCATTATTCGAAGGTTCATTATTCGAAGGTTCATTATACCTTGTTGCCTGAAAACGTAAATTATAATAATTCATAATTGGTAAATAATCAAAGAGAATGTGAACGGAACAGCTAGTTATAAAAGGAACACATGTTTTGCTGGCACGTGTAAGCTTGGGCGAAGAAGTTTGAAGGTCGATGACCCGATGGTGATTACTTCCTTCTGATTGTTAGTATAATTTTAAAGGAAAATTGTGTCAGTGATTGCGACATCGTAAGTATTTTTCAAACTGATCATTTTACTCCAAAAATATTATTCTAACGTACTTTAATATATTTCTTTTCCATTAAAAGAGATAAAGTAAAATTAGTGTTTATATCTATCTGTTAATTTGTGCACAAAAATAAAATATATAAAATTAGAGATACGTATATAATTTATATAAATAATGATTACCGCAGAATAATAATATACATACATGCATATAAATATGTAATCGTTATTTATTTCATACAAACTGATACAAACATATACGCAACGTGGTTTTCAATATACGCAGTTGTACAATAATATACTATACATACACACTCCCTCAACATAAAATTATATTACAATACTTTTAGACTAAAGATTTTTTCCGTATATGTATAACTTGTACAATTATTTACAATTCTAAATCACAATTGGAATGTAATTGCAATAAAAGGTGAAGAACGACGGTTCTTCCCCATATTGGTCCTTCAGACTTTGTACAGTTGTGCAGTTTTTTCTAGGTCTTTCTGCACGGTCAATGGAATGTTAAAATACTATACTTCAAAGATCAAATATTTATAGATATAGATCTTCGTTCTACCTATGAGCACTTTCCTTCTCTTGAACATACTACACACATTAAATATGTAATAAGATTATGTGCGTTATAATTTGTTACTATTGAACACTCCCATTACCGTATCCTATTATTACTATTGTTATTATTATTATTTACGGCTTAATATTTACTCACACCGTTTTGCATAGTACCATAAAAATTTGTTTTAAAAATGTTCTCATCAGAGAATCTAAAAAAGATCTTTGTTGCAAATCTGTCTTCAATCACAGAAATAGAGGTATATTTTCCTTATTGATGATAAGAGTTATGAGTACTGATAAGTTAATATTTTGCTGTAAAAAATATAATATCATTTTGCATTACTTTTCAATTATCAAATATCACAGAATGAAAAAGCGCCATTTGAAAGATTTCAGAATTCTTTGCTTCATTTATCACTGAATCAGATAATGGACTTTTGTGTATATGGTTAAATAAACAATTAATGGTTGAATTCAGTTCTTTAAAAGAGACTCAAATTCATGAAATACTAATAACATTCTCTTTCATGTTATTCAATTAATGAAAGTATATCAAATCATGCTAGCACAATTTTCTGATACTCCTTAATACCAAAACAAGCAATTTTCGCTTTTATTAAACCGTTATTTCAATATTGATAGAAGAAATAAATAAATAAATTCAAATGAAAACAGTCACACTATTAAGTTCGTCTGCTAATCTATAAAAATAAGTGAAACTAAATTTTTCAAACACCTAGTACTCATCCCTTCCAGCTTGATGAAGTGTTTTTTAATTCACAACCATCTGGAAGATCTACTGTTGTTTCATTAAGGAGTTTTTTCACAATTTGGTGCCTCTTGCCATTATAATTAAACTGTCCATTCTCTATAGGCTCGCTATAGACATATGAGCCAACACGATTTGAGCGGAATGCACGACATGGCACTGTTACAGTTAGCACACTGAACGCTAGACCTAATATAGAGCCTGCGAGAACGTCCCACCAGTGATGTCTGTTATCACTAATTCTAGTCAGGGTACATATCACTGCCCACAAACATACGAGACATTGTAGCCATGGTTTCAAGAAAAATGTCTGATTTGGTAGACGATTTTGAAAGTACCACTGTAACAGAAAAATCATCAAACAATTAGAAAGCGATTTATTATGCTACACAGTAAAAAAATAACATTTGATTCTTAATCAAAAATGCATAAGCAGAGTAGCCACATTGTACATATAGCAGACATTTAGCTGCATAGCTGGCTTAATTCATATTTCTAACTATACAACATAACTTTATTTTTTACTACGAGAACGCGCATTTTTTAATTTATTTATTTATTGTTGTAAATTAAAATGCTGTACAATGAAGGCAATTGTGCGATAAAAAAACATGATAATAAAATTCTGAAGAAATTGAAACGCAATTATGAAATGCTTATAGCATAAATCAGTACTGAATTTAGCTTACTGTGAGCAGACGGCTGACCACATAGTCAACAAATAGTCACAGTTATCACCTGATGTTATGTAAAATGCTTTGAGACTGTTGACTACTTAACATGCATAGCATCATAATAGAAATAAGTCATACCATTTGTATATGGCACTGAGTTTCAAATAAAAGATGTATGTGGTTTCTGTAAATTTTAGGTGAATTTGATATATTTTAACTACGTAACCTACTATGAAAATCATATAGGGCAACATACAACTTGGTGGTGAAAAAAAAACGATTCTTTAAAAATATTTTCAATCGACTGCAAAACATTTAAATTATACTTTAGAAAACAAAATTTCGGAATTCNATTACTTTTCAATTATCAAATATCACAGAATGAAAAAGCGCCATTTGAAAGATTTCAGAATTCTTTGCTTCATTTATCACTGAATCAGATAATGGACTTTTGTGTATATGGTTAAATAAACAATTAATGGTTGNGCTGTAAAAAATATAATATCATTTTATATTACTTTTCAATTATCAAATATCACAGAATGAAAAAGCGCCATTTGAAAGATTTCAGAATTCTTTGCTTCATTTATCACTGAATCAGATAATGGACTTTTGTGTATATGGTTAAATAAACAATTAATGGTTGAATTCAGTTCTTTAAAAGAGACTCAAATTCATGAAATACTAATAACATTCTCTTTCATGTTATTCAATTAATGAAAGTATATCAAATCATGCTAGCACAATTTTCTGATACTCCTTAATACCAAAACAAGCAATTTTCGCTTTTATTAAACCGTTATTTCAATATTGATAGAAGAAATAAATAAATAAATTCAAATGAAAACAGTCACACTATTAAGTTCGTCTGCTAATCTATAAAAATAAGTGAAACTAAATTTTTCAAACACCTAGTACTCATCCCTTCCAGCTTGATGAAGTGTTTTTTAATTCACAACCATCTGGAAGATCTACTGTTGTTTCATTAAGGAGTTTTTTCACAATTTGGTGCCTCTTGCCATTATAATTAAACTGTCCATTCTCTATAGGCTCGCTATAGACATATGAGCCAACACGATTTGAGCGGAATGCACGACATGGCACTGTTACAGTTAGCACACTGAACGCTAGACCTAATATAGAGCCTGCGAGAACGTCCCACCAGTGATGTCTGTTATCACTAATTCTAGTCAGGGTACATATCACTGCCCACAAACATACGAGACATTGTAGCCATGGTTTCAAGAAAAATGTCTGATTTGGTAGACGATTTTGAAAGTACCACTGTAACAGAAAAATCATCAAACAATTAGAAAGCGATTTATTATGCTACACAGTAAAAAAATAACATTTGATTCTTAATCAAAAATGCATAAGCAGAGTAGCCACATTGTACATATAGCAGACATTTAGCTGCATAGCTGGCTTAATTCATATTTCTAACTATACAACATAACTTTATTTTTTACTACGAGAACGCGCATTTTTTAATTTATTTATTTATTGTTGTAAATTAAAATGCTGTACAATGAAGGCAATTGTGCGATAAAAAAACATGATAATAAAATTCTGAAGAAATTGAAACGCAATTATGAAATGCTTATAGCATAAATCAGTACTGAATTTAGCTTACTGTGAGCAGACGGCTGACCACATAGTCAACAAATAGTCACAGTTATCACCTGATGTTATGTAAAATGCTTTGAGACTGTTGACTACTTAACATGCATAGCATCATAATAGAAATAAGTCATACCATTTGTATATGGCACTGAGTTTCAAATAAAAGATGTATGTGGTTTCTGTAAATTTTAGGTGAATTTGATATATTTTAACTACGTAACCTACTATGAAAATCATATAGGGCAACATACAACTTGGTGGTGAAAAAAAAACGATTCTTTAAAAATATTTTCAATCGACTGCAAAACATTTAAATTATACTTTAGAAAACAAAATTTCGGAATTCGCAAAAGGTAACGAAATTTCAGACTAAGTAGTATGGTTTTCGCTGAAATCGGAATTTTTTAAAATGGCTGTAACAAAAATTTCCTTTTAATATTTACTATAAAATAAAATTTTGGATACAATTTTAGGAAAACTTATAAGACAAAAGATTTTTCGGGAAATTTCCTATTTTCCACTATTCTAGATGTATATAGCCCCTTAAATAGACGCGAGTCTTTATTCGGAATTGGTTGCCGTAATCCTGAAAATAACTCGTCGCATAGTGCTAATATGAAGAATAAATTGAAGTCGCAACGGAGTAAAATGCTTGATCCTTACGAAACCTTATGAAAATTCTACAAGTTAAAGACGAAAGTACAGGTATATCAGGTCTTACCACGAAAAAAACAGACGTGAACACAGCAAGAGCAGAGTGTCCCGAGGGAAATGATTTACTAGAATCAGAGACAAACCAATTTGAGTCAACCGTATTTGTGCATGTATACGATCTCACGTATCTGAAACAGAACATCTATTACTCATTAGCCCTTACAAAGCCAGTTGCTTTTGACGATTTTATTGCAATTGTGACTATAATCAAATCTTTATGGATCAATTTTCTTTTACAAATCTCACTATTTTTTTTCTCAAAATACAGAAAAAATTCCGTATTCTCCATTTTCGAAATAACGAAAATAACGAATGATGAATAACTATGAAATTTAGAAAACTTTAGAAATCATCTTCCGCATACTTACTGGTCGGTACAATTCACAGCTTCGCGTGGCCTACACGTGTCCAAAAAATGCGGTCTTGGTTCTCCGATCAGACTTTTCATGACATCGCATATAAATGTCAACGTTATTAATCCGATCAAATAGTGTCCGTACCACTGCCATATTTGTTTCGCTCTTGAACCAGCGCATCCCACAGTTGTATCGTAGCTATCTGAAGGGTAACATGCGTATTCCGCTATCCACATCTAAAATAAACGGCAATATTATGCTCTGAAATTTTGATGAAGCGCTTCATATACAATTTGTTCGTAAATAATATATTCATTCAGCGAATTTATTTCGGTTTACGGCTCCGCCTCCTTTGAAAATGATCATTATCATTCTGTATACATGAATACAAATGATACGATTCTTTATGAGAAACCGAAGAAAATTATTTACAAGGTTATTTATATAACTTGAGCGCGCTGAATGCCTGATTTACTGCTTATAACAGTAACTGACACTGCAAGAAGCAAAACAATTTCTTCCAGGTTACAGTTTTCTTGATTTCAAGAACGTTATCAATAGCGGTCAAAGTCAGGACGAATCCAACAACCTACAATGTCACGACCTTTGCTTTTCCTTGAGTACCAAAAATAAATGGAAATACGTGTTTTATCACAGAGAAAACGGCGAAGAAAATTGATTACAGAAAATATTTAGCACGCGGGATTCATTAAATTCTACAGAACACTATTGTGTTCGACAAACGAACTATACCAAAATAAATTTTCTGCGCCGATTTCGCTCTATCGTAGCTATTTCTTAATTATATCTATTTTATTTTTGGTACTCAAGCTTGCACGAAGGTCATGATATTATAGCTGATCAGATTCTTCTTGCCTATTGCGCGCCCGTGATAAAAATATACGGCCCTATTTTGAAAAAATAAAGGTATCAATGGCGTTCAAGTTTCGAAAAATGTGACCTTCAGTTTTGTTCATTCTCTATAGTGTTTTCCTCTGAAATTTGTATATCGATAATAAGTGAGACGTTTAACCATTTGCGCTCGAGCGGTGAATCTGAGGCACCACTGAAATTATTATATCACGTTCCAAGATAATTTTTATATTATCAAAGTTTAAATATAAAAATTTATTAAGAGTCTAACTGTTGTATGAGTCACAAGACTAAATTTCCTATGCATAAAATGCACTTTGTCATGTAAAATGGAAATACCATAAGTCAGAGAAATTATTTTAGACTTACACAGTTAAAATGGCTTCGAGCGCAAAGGGTTAATGCGCTCGCGTTTTAGGCGATAGATGCCTTATAATTGAATAATCTTTTCGATAACAAAGTATTATGAACATCGATAATCGTTTCGATCGCAAAATCTGGCGACAAATTCGAAGATCGCATTTGGTCTACTAATTTGAACGCATCCATAAGCCCGGGCAATTTTCAATTATAAATATATATATACGACAAATCAAACTCACATACCACCACAAACGGGATTATGAAGGATCCGACGAGTAGTGTAGTCATGGAGATGGTGTCTCCCCTAAACTTAAAAGAAATCTTCGGATCATTGCACTGGAAGCCGATATGCTGCTGCGGTACGGTGCCAAATTCCAATAACGTCAGTAGTACGATAACTGAAACATGCAACAACATCGTTAAACCAATGATAACAAAGATCAAATACTTGACGACAGAAAAAAAATGATATTCAAAGGGCGTCGTTGGAACACTTTTGACCAACGAAAGAAAATCACCTTTTTTCTCTCCACTTACATAAATTATAAATATTCCCTCGCGTAAAAATGTTGTACGACGGTGATCGGGCTACGTTTCTCTTATTATCGCTCTGTTTTCCAGACATGATAAGCAATTTTTTACGTACACCTGCGTCAGCTAACGATCCAACCAGAAGAAGAAAAAGGGTGACGAAAGATAAACTGGTAACGAGACTAATAATGACAGCGCGACGGAAAAAACGAGACTGCGGAATAGGATCGGTGGGAAGGAGAAGTGGAAGAATGAATGGAGAACAGGAAGGGAGACGGAAAACCAAACTGGGAAAACACGTGGACTCGTCGAATTAAATACCCACTCGAACCAATATCGCGGAATGTACTGCATGATTATTACACCGGGCAATAGTTAAGTATTTAACTGGGACGCATGCGTAAATAGCGCACGCGATCGCACTGATTACACCAATACGAATCGCAGATAAAAAGAAGTCGTGTCGTATCTTGTGCAAAACTCGAGCTTTACGGCTGTTAAACTGATTAACTTTATGAAGTAAGTAATGGAGGAGATAATGGAACACGGCCTCTTCCACGTGCCTACAATCGTGCAGAGAGACGAACGCGTTTGGATAAGACATCCTGTTATCTTCTGCTGGGAGACTCTTCGTTCGGATAACGGAAAGTCTGGACAATGGGATTTTGACAAATCCGAATGTTTCGGATATACGAAGAATCAGCGTTGAAACTGATTGCAGAGTTGAAGTGTTTGCGGCGGTCTGAAGTTTAAGTTGATAAGATTTAATGTGGTTTAATCTTTGGAAAATCTAATGAAATGCTTGACCAGTTGAAATCTAATGAATTTCTATTTGATCCCAGGTTTGGCTAATATCTGTATTTCGGATAAAAATGAGCAGATCAAACATGAAACAACAAATAAAAAAGGAGACTTGCATTGTTATATTAGCTTCAACTTATTAGAGATATTAAGCGTGAAAGTACATTTATATTTATCTACTGTTTCCAGCAATTATTGCTGGTTTTTGTTTTGCTGGGAAATTCGTATAATTGATGTAGCGCGATGAAAATGCGCGCAGTTTTAATTGAATATTGGAAATACGAAGGTCTGCGAAGATTCCGATACAGTAGTTTAACACAGAATATAATGTAATTAATTGAAGGATATAATATTAAAACTGAGAAATGTATACAATTATTATAGAAAATGATGTGTTTATAAAATCGACTATACTTATAGAAAATGAAGTTTATAAAAACTAAATCTGGGTAGTAAGGAAACGAAACGATTAGGAACGAATGAAATCGTCTATTATCGTCATTAGTAACTTCTACCATAATGAGTTATAGACGATGAGTTATAGTCACTCGACTCATATACTTAAAATAGACTGAGGATCTTTATGCAAACTAAACATTTTCTTCATCGATTATGTAAAACAGAATGCAGGTTAAATAAAAACATGTTACAGCTTTTAATTATGCTAATACAGCGAACGTAGTGCACAACAGTAGTTGTTTTAACATTCTGCATACGAGTGGTGACTCGAAATTGTTATTTCACGTTCCAAAGCCATTTTCACATTGTTTTTATCGATATTTAAAAAGCTGTTAAAAAGTCGTATATCCTAAGAATCTATGCCATGTTTGTTAAACTTTGTTAATTAGAAATTATTGTGCATTCGATAAAGTACTATAGATACGACTGGAAAGTGTTATAATAATATGTCAAAAATTTGCACACATCAAAAAACGAAATCGTTTTATAACCGCAACACGATCATCTTCAAGATGTATTCACGAATATACGAGCGATCGAGGGCTGAATGTAAAATTGTATTTTCTTAACTACGTTGTACGATCTTTATTTTTTATTTTTACATCGTGTGTTTAAAATTTCAACCGACAGAAAACCTGACGTTTCTGTGAAACAAAAAACGGTTCACCGACTTCAAAAGCAATTCGTTTGACGTTTCCGTTAGTAACAAATTCAAACATTTCTCCTCTTGGCATTCCTCTCTTATCTTCAACATTTCTAAACAATGCACGTCGCAGTTTAATGTTTCCCACTGTTCAAAAACAACGAGAATAAATGCGTATAATGACTGAAACACCGTTCGTTTTATAATACGAAATACACAAAAATGTATTTATTTAATAATTACATTTTTATATTTCTCATCCCCTTCTTAAAAAAATGCAAGCTTGTATTCTATAATAAATTACTCTGTTTCATGAACTGCAATTTTTTTGTATGTTTATGTTACTATTGTTCGTGTCAAATAATTAATAATACGTCTATGTACAGCGAGTAATGAAACTACATATTTCGTGTGTACCTCTCTTCTTTGCCACTGCGTAATTGTATTCACGATGAAAAACATGTTGTTCGTTATGCACAACATTACGTTATCGTATATAGTCAACAATAGGATTTCTGTAGTTTATAATGTTCATTACACATTTCGAATGAAGGAATGTCGAATCTTCGTGTTACATTAACTTTGCATCGAGAGACTTCACTTGATTTTAGAATTGCTCGTTTTAAACAGAAATTCGAAAGCGAAACAACAGTTTCTTTCTGAAAAAAAAACAGGAATCTTTGCGGAGATATGCATAATTTCGTAAACGTAAATGTTTGCAGGGATAGCTCAGCGTGGTTGCAGTTATATTTTGGATATCCACAACATTGACCTTATGTAAATCATATTTGGGAATCTCTGTTTAGCTATATCTCTCGTTCTTCAACGTTTTAACTTCGAAGCGGCACGGGCTTCTCTGTATGCATAAGGGCAAGAATCTGCATACAAGGTGTCCAATTTTATTCTGTGATCCTCTAACTTGTTTTGTAAGAGAACGGTTCATTGACGCTTCACCGCGTGCATGTGCGCCTAGTTATTTAATGCGGCACGCCCGGAAAAAATTCTAAGCAGACTGCCATGTCGTCTCGCTTGGTATTGTATTACTCGGTCCGCGGTTTTCAAGTCAACTCTCATTGCATGCATGGTTTCGTTGCTAGTGCCCGCAAATGCAATCAATCACCTACGCATCGATTGATTTACAACTTTTTTTTTTAATATCATTTACAGGTATCCCTTCCGAAAGAAAATGAAACGCACGAGATAAACCGAACGATCAAATATACAGATTTTTCTCCTATTGAAACAGAAAACGAAAACGTGATTATAATTATGCATGCATGCTATTAGATTCAACAGAAAATGTTACGTTTCTTTTTACAATATTTTTCATTTGCTCTATAGTTTAACTCTTTCAGTGCCGACTAAAATGAAGAAATATAGTTGAAAATATATTTACATTTAACATTATTTTTGTGACCTTATATTATTCTTTAAGATTGCGAACATGTAATATAACGGCAAAGGCCAAGGGTCTGTAAAAGCACCAGTAACTCTAATGTGAAAATTAGAGATAATACTAAAGATAAATTGAAATAAAATAATTATGATTGTTTTTATATTATATTCGTATTGTGTAAAGATTATGGTAGATTAAATTTTCTATAAATACCACAACCACGTACGCATTAAAAGGGTTAATTATAAATAGGGATATCGTGACAAATACATTTCAGCGATTTCTTTCATCGTTGAAACAAGTATCCAAATTTTGACGATTAGTGTGAATTGATCGTTGTTCCATTAAGAACGGTAAAAATCGATAAAAAGAACTTGTTGTTTGGGATATAAACAGCGTTAATTTCTGATTTGTGTGATTCAATATTCATTCATCTATAAAAACATATAATGTATACAAAATGTTTAATCCCTGTTCTTGTATAGAGGCGTCTCTTTAAGAGAACAGTGGGAAATAAGTGGACATAGTTGATTTTTTTCGCCTGGATATAATGACTATGTAATTTCAGAGATCACAGTCATTGTCTAGGAACTGCAAACGATACGTACTTCCGACTATGCAGTTGTCTGCTAATGTAATAACCGCGGCTCCAATTGACGAACTCCCGTTTCCCCGCTGTTATCAGAGAAACGTGTGAATTTAATCGGTACAGAATGTTAATTGGCGTAATTACGAATGTGTAATGTGGTGGATGCAAAGAATTTCTCCATTAACGTCGCCCGCGCCCGGGAAAGAAACGATTGCGCTTGTTCCCCAATAATCCTAATTGTCGACAAAAGCAAAATGTCGGCGTGCTCACCCGTTACTATGGAAGCGTGATAAGCAACGATGTGATAAGATTAATAAATTTAAAGTAACAGACGGTTTTGGCAGTCGTTTGACAATTAACGTTCCTTTCGCTCGGTGTTGTTATTTCTGCAAAAGTACCTGCCACGTAACTACGGTTGCATACTTCTCTACAACCTTGTTAATCACCGTAGCGATACAATTCTTGGACATCGAATGCGTCTACAAATATTCTCTATCTTGAGCTGATTCACAATACCGGAAAGAACGCATTGCTTTACTATACAATTAAATGTTCCACGAAGTTAAACAAATTGTGTAAATTGATTAAACCGCGTAGAATTTGTCGATCATTCGTTCTGTTCGATAATACAAGATTTAGTAATTAAAAATACGATTTTCTAATCACAGAATTTCGATACTTTCTTCCACACGTGTATACAGAGGAAGTTATTTATGATTCAACTCAGCAATACCATGACTCACAACAGTTTATCGAAAATAGTAAAAAGGAATTCCACGGAAACTCATTCATGTTGTAACATATAAGAGATTTTAATGCGCGGTTAAAAGTTTAAAATATTAAAAATATATATATATGTGTGAAAAAGTTTGTGTGCCATCTATGTTATTATTTGTGGAACCGTAGCTTCAGTATTTATTGATTGTATTAAACCAAAAGTAAATTGAATATTTCATTAAACATTGTTAAGGCCTCGATCTCATTGAGCTTTATATGTACATATATTCGAATATGTTATACATACATACCCAAATATGTGAATACATAATATACCATGTACCATCTGCATATTACGTATACGATCCGCAATCTAATCAATATTTTCATGTATGCATATTCGTGTACCTATTTTCACCCGCATAGTGCTATTAATAAACAACACGCGAGTATGCAAAGATAAAAGTTAAACTGTTTTGTATAATTACTTTATGTAAAAGTTAATAAATACAATGTACAAGTAAATTATATGATAATATGATTGTATTAGATCAAGTTACACAATATCTATGCAAGCCATAGATGTCCATTAAAGAACGTTTACAGTCTTATTAGAATATTTAATTTGATGATGTGCAAATAATACAAGGCCAGATAAATGTTCTATTTGTATTCAAAAAGCAACGCGTATGCAGAAACTTTTGTTCGTGACCTTGTTTTCTTAAAATACCTATTAAATACTTCCACCAGAAATGTTAATTGAAGTTCTTTTAGATGCCGCTTTCGAGATGTTAAACGAAGAATCTATAAAACCTTATGCACGCTACTCTGTACCTGACGTGCGACCTACATATTTTTCGCTAGCACGTCGATATATAACAAAGAAAATTATTGAACCGAAGACGCAGAAATTTAATGCATGTAAACCTTTGACGAATTCTCGCCCCTCTCGCGAAACTATTTAGCTTTCCCGAACAAAAACAAAATGCGCGTTAGAATCATCTTCGACAATTTATTTTCCAAAGTAAGTTAAACAATATCCGTGGAAATTGTTGCACCAGCGGCGCCATGTTCGTTGAAACATCGTTTAAACATATTTTACATATTTATAATGTTATAGAAAATACCGTCGTACTTGTCAATGGCTACAGGATGGTCACTGAACTTAACTTGACTTTCTTCTGAAATTGAATATCTCAAAAACAGGAGACGGCGGAGATTAATGGTTGTTAAGAACCGTGTTTAATGCATCAAAATGTACAAAATGAATATATGAATGAATAAAATGTATAAAAGTAAAATAAGTAAAATGTAAAGTAGGAAATATTGGAAGAAATTAAGTGGATCGATGCATCGAAAGTATTAAAGGGAAGTATTTCGTTATTTCTAATATTTTGTAACTCTGATGCAAACAGTTGTTATTTTTCACGAAGATCCAAAAATACCTCATACAGGTATTAGATAATCAGCAGAGGTCGATAGAAAGGACTGTTACTTGTATTTATAATGCTTTATTAAAGTCCTATGAGAAAATATTGAATGCAATGTAAAGTGGCGATATACGTTTTGATAAGGCTTCTCTTGCAAAACACGGCAGGTAAAGTCGATAAACCTTAATCGACTTACGCGATGATTCACACCCGAAAAAGGTCCAACGTGGAAGATAATGAATACCACTAATCATGCTCCTTTAAAACGATTCATTTCTTTGATTAAATATAGACGAAGTAAACATGATCGATCATTCGTATACTCTTGCGCAAAATCCGTTACAACATACTATACACATATATCACGTTTCATACTGCATTCAATATTTTCGTAGAAGTTTCTAATTAATTTCCACCCAAACATCGTATAAGATTATATTTGTCATAGTTTTGCTTGCGTATAGGATGTGGTCCTGCAATTTGACGAAGGAAGACTTATCTTCAAACGCGATGTCTAACATGAATCACGATGAATCCAGTCATTGGTCTTTTCGATTAGTTTACGAGAGTTGAGGAAACAGAAAACTGTACAATGGAGAATTGGAAGCTAACCCGATGGGAAATAAAAGGAAACCGATTACCTGATAGGGCGAGCAACACGTCGACGAGAAGTACCCAGCGTATAGTATTTTTGCAGATACTCATGATCTTTTCGGAGACTGTACGCGTTGAAATTCCGTCTGGATTATCCAGGATCTCCTCCAAAGTTGCTGTACTGCAGTGGGTCGTCAGTTGTTCCGTTGATCTCTATAATAATGTAATATTTGCACAGTAATTAACGAAATCTTGTTAACGTTCCGGAATTATTAAGGCGCAGACTACCCTTCCCTACTTTATCCAATATGAACCGTGACAATCATTTCCACGATCCATCTGTAGACTACAAACGTCGACACAAAATCGTTATTTCTATTTACTACATGAACATTTTATTTTCTGTATTAATTAGTTCAATAGATGAAAAGTGAATTATTTTCGTAAAACGCGAAAATGCAGTTTCATTAAATAAAATCAGCAACTGTACTGCAATTTGTACTGAATTTTTGCAATAAGGAAACGTTTTCTTATTCTGGTTTTCGTAAAACAATTTGTGAAAATCATGATTTATATAACTAATTGCAGTTTTCTTGCGATATATGAAAGAAAGTCACCGAAAGACGGCAGTTTAATTGAATACTTTACAACTTCCTTGTAAAACAAGAGAGTATTTTCTGGTCAACCCGATGGGACTTAATTCTTTCCAAAACAGTATTTTATTAACACAAAAACCAAACTGTTCGTCGTTATAAACATGGAATATTTACATTTTGTAATGAGGCACGGTTCCTACATTAATAATAGAGGTTAACTACGAAGATTTGCTGTTACAGTAAGTTCTCCCAAAATTGTTCCTCAGCTTGTAAAGAAAAATGGACAATTTCGGAGAAAGGGATACGATTATTCGAATCTCGCAGTTCGTTTTTATAGTTGCTGATTATCAANGGTCCAACGTGGAAGATAATGAATACCACTAATCATGCTCCTTTAAAACGATTCATTTCTTTGATTAAATATAGACGAAGTAAACATGATCGATCATTCGTATACTCTTGCGCAAAATCCGTTACAACATACTATACACATATATCACGTTTCATACTGCATTCAATATTTTCGTAGAAGTTTCTAATTAATTTCCACCCAAACATCGTATAAGATTATATTTGTCATAGTTTTGCTTGCGTATAGGATGTGGTCCTGCAATTTGACGAAGGAAGACTTATCTTCAAACGCGATGTCTAACATGAATCACGATGAATCCAGTCATTGGTCTTTTCGATTAGTTTACGAGAGTTGAGGAAACAGAAAACTGTACAATGGAGAATTGGAAGCTAACCCGATGGGAAATAAAAGGAAACCGATTACCTGATAGGGCGAGCAACACGTCGACGAGAAGTACCCAGCGTATAGTATTTTTGCAGATACTCATGATCTTTTCGGAGACTGTACGCGTTGAAATTCCGTCTGGATTATCCAGGATCTCCTCCAAAGTTGCTGTACTGCAGTGGGTCGTCAGTTGTTCCGTTGATCTCTATAATAATGTAATATTTGCACAGTAATTAACGAAATCTTGTTAACGTTCCGGAATTATTAAGGCGCAGACTACCCTTCCCTACTTTATCCAATATGAACCGTGACAATCATTTCCACGATCCATCTGTAGACTACAAACGTCGACACAAAATCGTTATTTCTATTTACTACATGAACATTTTATTTTCTGTATTAATTAGTTCAATAGATGAAAAGTGAATTATTTTCGTAAAACGCGAAAATGCAGTTTCATTAAATAAAATCAGCAACTGTACTGCAATTTGTACTGAATTTTTGCAATAAGGAAACGTTTTCTTATTCTGGTTTTCGTAAAACAATTTGTGAAAATCATGATTTATATAACTAATTGCAGTTTTCTTGCGATATATGAAAGAAAGTCACCGAAAGACGGCAGTTTAATTGAATACTTTACAACTTCCTTGTAAAACAAGAGAGTATTTTCTGGTCAACCCGATGGGACTTAATTCTTTCCAAAACAGTATTTTATTAACACAAAAACCAAACTGTTCGTCGTTATAAACATGGAATATTTACATTTTGTAATGAGGCACGGTTCCTACATTAATAATAGAGGTTAACTACGAAGATTTGCTGTTACAGTAAGTTCTCCCAAAATTGTTCCTCAGCTTGTAAAGAAAAATGGACAATTTCGGAGAAAGGGATACGATTATTCGAATCTCGCAGTTCGTTTTTATAGTTGCTGATTATCAACAATTATAAAAACGAGCCGCGAGGCTCGAATAATCGTATCCCCTCTTCCCAAACTGCCCACTTCAGTTTACAAGCTGGGGGACAATTTGAGAGAATTTACTGTACATCTTATAATCATTAATATTCGACACAATTTAAGCAAAATCATTCATGAAATAATCTTTAACGTGGTTTAAATAATATTGCTGCAGCGACAATCTAAGAGAGCAATAACAATACATTCCTACTTGAAGAAAGCAATTATAACGAGTCACTCACACAGCTGTCCTCGATACTAATCGTCGAGATAATATTTCTGACAGTAATAATAACGACCAATTAAAATGTAAATAAAACCGCCTGTTGCGTGGCTTTAAACACAATATTAATATGTCGGCATGAACAAAACAGGCACGCGATTGTTAACAAAGGCAGGACAGTAACAAAGGTCGCAAAATTTGGAGTATTGAAGTAGCATGAATGATACAACGAGAGCAATCAACCGGAACTAGCCTCTTAATATCGTCTGCCTGCCCTTGGCACACTCGATTACCTACTTACAGTCAAATCCTTTGTCTTTCGATAGTAGGTACGTTTCAATCGTCTTTATATTCCTCGTTTCTTTTTTTCAGTTTCACAAAGCCTGTTCGTCGTTCGAAAAGAAACAAAAAAAAAAGAAGCATGGCTCGCGAGCGGCATTGCGAGAAACGAATCGCGCAGCGATCGAATTAACAAAAAAAAACTGAAATAAGTTTTCGCATCTGCCTCCGCGATGGTTCTACGTATACGCGAAATTATTTCAACCACCTGTTGATATAATATTCGCGGGCTTCGGTCTATTGTACCGTATAGTTGCCTGGCTTTTCTAAAAAAAAAGGGAGATAAAAAAAAAGAGAAACAAGAAAAAGCTACAGTAATTTCATTTGCTCTTCATTCGAGATGAATTCCATATTTTTTTCTTTCTTCTTCTTCTTCTTTATTTTCATTTTCACGATATAGTTTCATTCGATTAGATAGACATCGTGGAAATGTCGAGGTAAGTACTCGCCATAGAGGACGATAGCGAGGCGTATTCACGTACCAATAAAAACGTGCTATTGTTAATTAGGTCGAGGTTTAAAAAACCTCGATTAATAATGCTCGATTGAAAAACACGGCGACACATCCGCATTTTCAGTAGGGAGGATAAGCATTTTTTAACTGAGCTACTACGGCTACGAAGTAATTAGGGGGGAAAGCGTCCGTACCCACCGACACACGAATCTAATATCTACGCATAATTTAAAGCTGCCGTTCGAAACATTATCGTAGAGAAATTCGAGCAACCATTTTCACCTATTTGTTGTTTACAATTGTAATCCAGCCGACTGCTTTAGAAGTAAGGAAAATACAATACAAAATCGTGATAACAACGATTTGGATACCATTGGAATTTCCGTTGATTTCTCGCTTGAATTTAGATTAGGCACGCGATCGGATCGTTCAATTTGTCAACGTGTCAAATAAGCAAGTTTAAATACTTGCCTAACGTCGAGTTGCCTATGGCCTATTGTAAATAACGTAAACACAATGCGAAGAACTTACGGTATGTACTGTAACGCGGAAACGTGCGTTGCGATAGTAGTAGAAATCCCAAATCGATTAGATGCTCGGTGAATTCGATAAGCAGATAAAGTAACCGATAAGAAGTCCCTGTCATCGCGCTTTTCCAGTCCATGAATCGGTGCCATGTGACGCCTGCTCGTAATTCTTTTACAAAAAAGAAAAAACCAAGGCCACGAGAACGATATTCGACAAACGCGGATTGCATCCTTTTATATACGGAACGATGGAATTTTCGCGCGGCAACGGTCCAGAAAATATTCTTTCGAGTATAATAACAGTTAGTCAGTAATCAACGTGCTGGACGAGTGAATCAGCAACGCGAGACCGAACCAGCATAATGTTAACATTACCATCGTTACGGGAGATTATGTGTTTTACTTACTCGGGAAGAGTGTTCGCTTCGATCGTGATAATTAGCAGTTCGGCGTTAATTAATTCTCGCATAAAAGGGAGAGCAGCACCAAACACCTTCAGATCCCGCGCACATCTTCCTCAGACCTCCAGGTCGGGAATGGTTTTGTGAAAGGTTAACGTCGATGCAGAAACGAGAGAGAAACGAGACCTTGGGGTCATTGTTTTGTTTGAATTTAGGGAACGAATAAGATCGTCGAGATGCCAGCGCGACGTCACCGTTCGCATTAATAAAAACATGAAACAAGAGTTGGAAAGTTTTAGCGCGTGAAAACCGTTCAAGCTCCAGTGGGAAATCCTTTATTGTCACGGTTCCATGACATGGTTTTATGAGTACGAAAATATTAGACACATTTTTGATAACGAGAAAAAGAAAAAAAGTAGAAAGCAATCTAACTCGAAGCAACGTCCAGGCACAACTGGCGTACCTCGTCTTCAATCAACGACTTCCCTCGCAAGCTCGAATTAAATGTTCTACCCACCCTCTTGCCCTGCCCCCTCCCCCGTCGTTAAGCCCCACCAAAGGATTCGACACGTGTGGTGCGGTTTACGTACAAACGTTTCGATACCACCACCAAGATGAACGGTAAGAGGTCCAAAACTGAATGATCCCACAATTTTCCACGCTGCAACCGTTAACGCTTCGTAACGCTAAACCTACCACGTTCAAATTCACCGGTCTTTGTGTCTGAAAATTGCCGGAATTATACTGTTCCATAGGAAACGATCGAATGGATTTCTTAGTTTAAGGACACGTTGTGATTAAAATGGCGACAAGGATAAATAAATTCGGTCTCACCGTTTCTTTAAAACAATACGCGTAAGTCACTCCCTTTAGTGTACGGTAAATGTTAAACTGTACACGCGGTCAACGAAAACAACGTCAGAGTACAATATTAAGATGTGTAACAAGTATATACGTGTTTCTTTGAACGGAAGTTGATTGGTGTACTTACGAGCTATCTCGTTTATTATCATTTTTATAAACAAGAGTTATTTACTTTGCTAATTTTGATAATTATTAACGCATATCTCTTGAGAGTGGACGAAAGGGTATGTAAAGATCGTTATCAAAAAGAGAGGAATGTTTCTGGGTCGTGTATGATCCATATTTTGAAAGCCTAATGTGTTGCAGTCTGCGGATCTTTATGAAAAATAAAAATCTGATGCATCACTTGCAAGATAGGTATCTTTTATTTATGATTCCAGTAGTTTGAAATTAACATATCGATATTATTAAATTCTTTTCGTCTTTTATACACTCAATTTTCTCACAAATGCATAAAACCCGCGATCTAGTTGTCAACTTTCATGTCTAAAATTTAATTCGTTTCTATTCAGTTAAATAAATTGTGTGTATAAGTAAACATTCTTATTTATTTTATAACCAAATATGCTAACTAAATTATACCTTTTCGTTATATCATCCTCCTTTGCATTTAACCTTTTCAATATGAATCAGTTTCTTTAATACGTTATCTTCTTTTGTTGGAGATATACATATGGCTCAATCAATTTTGTTATTTCATTGATCTTTATTTGCAAGCCAAGTCGTTTTTCATCTTGCAGTTTGAATCTTTCATTATGGAACATTTTAATAAATTTGTCAAAATATATAAATAAATAAATAAATTCGTCAAAAATGATTTTTATTATTTATTCAACGCTCCCACTTTTTTAGAATATATATATTATAGATATTAAAACAAATGATGCTATTATATATATATAACTAAAAATTAATTTCAAATGACTTTCTTCAAAGTATGCAGCGACATGACGTAGCTGATTTTAATACAGGAATTAATATGCAATTGTTTAATGAAATCATCGAATTTGTATGTATTGTACAAGATAATTGTTTCTCGCCAATTTGAACAATGAAATCATTGAAGTACGAAGTACGAATACATATCAGTACGAATAATTGTTTTATGGAATTGAATAACAAGATCATCGGAACGATGCATTATTTATCAGGTTTGAGCAAGAAAACAGAACGAAATAAAATTTTTACAAAAGATATGTTATTTTTCGAAATTGAATAATGAAATGATCAAAAAAGTCCGTTGTTTCAGAATGGAAGACATAGAAATAAAAGGAGTAAGAAATTAATACTAAAATTTTTTGAAATAAATACAGATATATCTGCAAAAATCTGGCGTATGTTAGAAGTACTTATCACTTTAAACCATTACTCAGCGTAGTTCCGTACTCGTTAAACAGTATTAAATAGAATATTGACACTCAATGAAAACAATACAACTATTACTGTCAACGCGCATCACATAATCGGTATTTATCGTAATTATAAAAAGACATGTGTTGATCACTGTAATCAGAAGAGCAATAAAAATTGCATTCTTCATTAGAGAGAACAATACCTATCTTTCTCATTGCACGAAAGTTATAATTACATGTATTCTAAATTTCAATTATTCGATTTAAAAAATTGTGCTTTTTATAGAAAAATGTACATGAGAGGGCTTACCAAAACACAGACAATAAAATATCAACAATTGATAACAATAACAATCTTAACAATAAGGATTGTTAAGATTTTTCAAATGTCATTTTACTTATTAATCTTTTTTTATTAATTTTTTCATAATTTTTAGGGACTCCTTCTAGACACATTAGCTTGTCTACAGACCAATATTTATACTCTGAGTCCAAATAGATCCGAGCCTCGCCGCGCCGTCCAAATCATTCGAATCGAATAAGTCGAGAAGTACAATTCTACAAATCGGCACGATAATTTGCATAATTTTAACATGACCTACTAGAATATTTTGACTTGATATTTTGACTACCTTTCAGCAAATAAGGCTTCTTATGCAGTCTGTAGAGTAGAGTGTAACAGTCACTTCCGATTCTGAACTCTATTCTTCGTCGGAAATCAACACAACTCTCGAAAACCGCAAGCAAGCGAAGTAACCAAAGTAATTCAATAACCAGCACGTATACCTAAACGAAATTGAGTGTTACAGTACTGAAAAGTACGTTATTATATAATCAGCTTCCATTTACCACTCTAATTACGGTTATAAAGTAATAAATATGACGAAGACAAAAATCTGGCAAAAACGCAAGTCAGAAGCTTTCGATGTATGGATTATGCCATTGCTTTTACAATAAATTCTCTGCGGCAATTTGGTGGGCATAAATTGTCTCGTTTAATTGTCTCACAGAGTAAAAAAATATTGGTTTCTCTTCGAGCTTCTTTTTTACCCAAACAGAAAAATCTTTATACAAAAAATGAAACATAGATGAACATATGCGTAATTTATTGAGTTATAAGCTTCGCGTAACGTAAATATCAACGGAGATGAAATAAAATCGCGTTCAAATAAAAGGAATCCCTAACCCATACGGACAAGTCATAGATACGAAATTATCCTGCGAGACTTATAGTCAACGTTAATTACAAAGAAATATATAGTTGTAGATGGTCATATCTCTGATAGACGTTCACACATACGCTATTGACGTATAAGGAAAATACCATGATACACCTGCTGGAATGTTTTTGCAAGATCAACTGGCATCTGGTGACGTGAGTTGAATGCCACATACGAGATACGTGATTTTTTACGTAAATTTACACATCACCCGCTTAAAATATTAAACCGGCATCAAGTTTAATAATATTGCTTATACACTTTCGTGTGTAAGCACGAAACCTCACTTTTATCCCCCTTTGTATTGTTTTTATTTTCAAAAATTATTTAAACTCTATTCTTTGTTGCTAATTGTTGTCTGCAATTTTTTTTTGTATTTGTTATTGGATTTAACATATATATAAGAGACATATTATAATTATTGTTATTATTAAAATCAGTTTGGGTTAGAATTTAAATTTCAAATACAGAGGAAAAAAGGTCATACAATAAATACTAATTCACTTTCTAATAGATGTACAATTTTAACAATTTTTTAAATAAGTTTATACTTCAAAGAGTATATTATTCACTGTAAAATAATTTAAATTAAATTGATTTGATATTATGTATAATACGATGTATGTCTGTAACTATATGACAAGTATCTTTTGGCTTCTACTAATATATGAAAATATTCTACTCAAAAGAACATATGTTTAAAAAAAAAATGATAGGAAATGCATTATGTCAGTTTTCAAATTCTAACCTGCATTGTCCACGTGTAATGATATATTCTCCAGTTAAATGTAGTTTGAAAAAATATTATTCACTACGTTTCACACTTAATTGTAGTTTCAAAATTACATTAACGTAGCATACAATAAACTATAATCGTCTACATAAATATAACTAGTAAAAGAGACACATAGTCGTTGACAGTTCACTGCAAACATTACTGTACACAGCGTCATTAGTACGTATGATTCAACTACAGCGAATAGTTTGCGAATAGAAAAGGAGGGGATGGATTTGACCATTTCAAAACACAGCTGTCTTAACCTTAAACGACATTTAAAGCGGAAGTGTAACAATCAGTACGTAATGAAAAGATAAAACACAGAAAACCGTTTCTCCACTGTTATCATCAAGTTTCACAGATTTTTTACATTATTCGTAAGATATTTATTATATGCCTGTCCAATTAAATAAATATTAGCACATTATCATTTTATGTAATTAAGTATTTAGTTATTTTTATTAGAAACAATAAAACGTGTAAAAATTAATTTCATTTGCATACTATTATTTTAATTCTGAGACTAGTATTTTGTATATATGAAAATTTATACTTAATATGAGTTTTTTTGTTTTAGCTTTATCATATCCAGTTTCAATTCACAATGAGTATATATAGAGATATTCAAAAAGTGACTCAGATACCCTATAGTGATGAGACTTCAACATTCGTGCGACATAGAGAATCTACTATATCTAAAAGAAATCGAAGAATAAACAAGCCAAAACTTCCACGTAATGCAAATGTTAGCATTTGCAAGTTATTTTCATTTCGATTCAAATCTACCTCAAATCTATTGTATCATAAACAAATTCATTAAATAGGCTTTACACAGTTACCATGTTGACCACCAATTTAGCGATTACATAAACTCCATAAAATCAAAATAATTTATTTCACAAAACAAAGACCAAGAAGTTAAGAATTGTGGTATCAATTACTCTTTTAATTCTCTTGCATTTCACAGATTGCAAGCAAATTTGATACATTCAATCCAGCAGCTTACAAATTAACTTTTAAGTTTAGACAAATAATTTTATTATTAATATGGATGACATGGCA